GTCTCGCGGGGACCTCAGAGCGCTTAGCGGGGCTTTGACTGAGATTTCGGCGGGCGTTTCAAAGATCGGATCACTTTCGCGGGTTGTTTGAAGACTTCTTTGCGGGCACATGTGGACATTAAACTCCCTTAATTGTTCTTACAAAAACTTTAAATCTCTTACTGCTCTTTTAAGGTACTCTGGGTACTGACAAGTCGGAATGCAAACATTACTGGACGATAAATGACCCCACTCGACGAAGAAGCTATAGTGCAGCAGGATATTACAAAAACGACTACTATCTAGTTGAGGGATGGTACAGATTTACATTAGGGATGCAAATGTCCACAAGTTGTAATCAGGGTTCCGGCCATTGTGATGTCTCATATGCGGGATGGTTATATCAAGGCCATCCGTCAGTTAATGACGGGGTGGTATCTCGGACAGTCTATTTCGGCTATTCCGGCAACTGTTACCAGTATAGCACGACCATAAAAGTACGCAACTGTGGATCTTTCTATGTCTACAAATTAACACGCACACCAAATGACCACTGTCGCTATTGTACCTATAATTAACAAAGTAAACTGATGTAAACAACAAGAACAGACCTAATTCTGATTCTCTTTGATTAATACTGTAGCTGTAATAGAATACCACTTCATGTCAACTCCAAGGGTGGAAACAGGAATTTTGGCAGCTAGTAATGGTGGTATATTTAACTAGGATAAGCTATTGTAGCTTTTTTGTTACATCTCGAGGTAAATAAAAGATTTAATCGCTTTTGAACGGAAAGTCTGAAATTGTCTATAGATTATTCAATTTCCCATTATATTGATGCTCTCTTGCAGACGTATACGGCATGGAACCCAGATTTATAGTAAATATACATACATGTATTTTTCTCACTTTGTATAGTTCCCAAAACGAACCTCTGGAGCCAGGCCGTACGTAATCTGCTGCGCGCGTTAAGTGTTCCAATGACCTTTCTTTGCAATTTTCACACATAAAAAAGAAAAGTTAGATGGATGCAACGTGGCCGAGTACGTGCCGAGTAGTTAGAGCGCTGAACTTGCAACTTAGAGGCCCCCAGTTCCTCATGTCCCGCCCCGAAAGCTTGCTGGATTTGATCTCGGCGGTGCCACTGTTCAAATCCTTGGCTATGCTCGATAGCTAGCCAGCTGGTTGGCCTCCGGCCAAATGGGGTTTTTGACCTTGTTAAGTTTGATATAAATTACTTGTTTCAGGCTTTTGCTCGGCCCCATTAGCATCAGTGCTATTGCTTCAAAGAATAAATAAAGGATTGTTATTTATGCCCCCCTGCTTGCTTGCCAATAAAGCTATGCATTGAACAATGTGCATTGCTCAGTAGGGGTGAGCTCGGTTTGCTGGCGCTTTCAATGCAATCACAAGAAATACTACTAAACAGGCTGAACAAAACTGTAAGTGAAGCCTTTGGAATGATTTTTAATTTTGGGCCGCACATTCTTGCGATCTAAGCACCAACTAAAGGAATAACCTGAGACAAGCACACGTGGTTTCTTGGTCACCAGCCGCCAAGTGACTGGGACAACAGGATTTTGATGGCTATTGGCCATTTCGGAGTTGCGTAGGAAACTGGGGCGAGTTTCAAATTCAAACTAATCGATAAACTGACACCACCATATTAAAGGTCATGTTGAGATTGGTTTTTTGAACAAGTTTGGTGCTCTAAAGTTGAACAGGGATCAAGTTATGACTCTTGAAGCATGGTTAAAGATCCATACAGACCTCTGTAATTTTCTGACAGCGTCGCCTAAAACCATATAAACTCTTAATTTTTTTTCACGATTTCTGCGATATTCCTAAAAATGGGCAAACACAGTGATTTTCAAATTAGTTCCTTCCAAGTAGTAGATGCATGACGGATTTTACAGTTTAAAAGAAAAACTGAAATATTTTAAGGAATTTATTTGGTTTTGGAGGACGCTGTCACAAAATTATAGAAGTTTGTATGCATCCTTAACCATGTTTCAGTGGTCATAACTTGATCCCTGGCTAATTAACAGCGCTAAAAAGAAATACCATTTAATACAAACTTAGGGGGGAGGGGCGTTTAATAGATAAGAGGCGTTTATTTGAGAGTGGGCATTTAATTGATTAATTATTAGATCATTTACGGTAAACATAGCCTACTTAACTGATCGTTGAAACGTCTACCTCCCTTCACCGTCCTTCTGAAATGGGCAAAGGAATTCTTGCCGTGTATTCTTCAGGGAAGAAAGATGTTTGCCCTGCACCGAAGCTGTAATGAAAGAGGCCTGTCATGATATGCTCAGATGCTTAAATATCTACAAGTGTAAGTCCCGGATGACCCATTCGGGATAATTAAACGCATTAAAACCTATCTACAATTAATTTCGCTTAAAAAAAACGATTTAGCCAAAGCACTATTCACAGTTCATTTCAATTAAAGAAATCATTTCAATTAAAATTATTATTATTAGTATTATTATTATTACTATTATTATTATTGTTATTATTATCATTATTATCATTATTATTATCACAAACTAATGAAATCTGAGAACTTCTAGTCCAACGAACACCTGAACAGGCCAGACCAAGGTGTCTCTCTCGCTCCGTAGCTAGGGACAAATAGGAAAGGAACCTGGGAACGAGGTTGTAGTCCCTCCTTACAAAACGATGTGAGGAACAGTAGAACGTCGCTCAACCTTGAATGTAGATTTTTGCGTGCGTATGCGCGTAAATTTTACGCGCGCGTGATTAAAATAGAGGCAATGTATGAAGTCTCTCGCATGAACGTAAAAGTTGAGCGAGGATCAGTCTACTTTTACGCTTACTCGCAACCTTCAATACATTGCCTCTTTTTTTTAATTTTATTCTTTTTGTTTTCGCGCGTAAAATTTACTTGACAATGAAAACCGAAGAACTTAATATTTGCTCTGGTTGAGTCGTTCTTCTTTTAGCATAAGAAGGGTGGTGTAACCAGGCCAGGGCAATTCAATTTGTACTTCATCTCATTCTAGTACTAGGGGCTGATGTGAGGTCGGTGAAGGGTAGATGTGGGGTAGATAATGCGCAGGTAGTGGTGATGGAGGAGGAGGAGGAGGAGGAGGAGGAATATAAGGAGGAAAAACCAAATACGTAAGTAGGTGAACTGATGGGATGATGAGGAGAACGACAGAAATAAAAAGAAGGAGGGGGGAACAATGAAAAAAGGGGGGGAAGTGGAAGTGGGTGGCAATTGAGGTAAAACTATAGAAATATGGTGTAAGTGATGGTAGTGGAAGCGAAGGAATTGCAATAATATATATAAAAATGTAGTTTCGAAAAATGGTGTTGAAACTATTGATCTAGTGCATGATTAATAGTTAGTCTTCCTTTCTCTGCATGCCTCGCTCTCGGCTGACTTTTCCATTCCCGGCCCTGGATTTAAGAGAAAAATAAATAAAAAGTTAATTGTCTACTGCCTGCCAAAATCGCTACCTTTTTTTTCTTCTATTTATGTATAAAATTTAAATTCATCTTATATACAGTGTGAACTGCCTCCAGTAAAAGGAAGCCGCCATGCCCCTTTAATAATTACGAAATAAAATGAGATATACGCACTGGAAATAGAGGGAAAGAGGAAGACTTAACAATTCCTTTTTCAAGGAATCCTTGAAGAAAAACCAAATTTAGCCCACAATGCATAGTCCGTTATCATCAGGTAGTTAATGTTGTTAGTGTGTTCAGACCAGTACCAAAAAACTGCCCTTCATGGGCAGGTTTCTTTCGCAATGAGCCTCCGCCTGCGTACTGCACTCTGCAATGCGCCCCGCTAGTGATACCAACACATGAACAAACCTAGTTGCATGGAATATATTCTCACCCACCTTCTCTCCACAAATTCAGGTCGATAGATGGTATCCTATCGCAATTAACTAACTCTTGGCCTGTCTCAAAAACGCGCTCTTGAATTCGGTTTACATTATCTGAGTTGTCACAGATAACCTTTGCCAGCGAGCTTCCTTTCTTTATGGAATCCAACTGTTCTAATGTGAATCCTGTGTAAGAATCGTTTCGTTCATACCAGAATCGATCTCCAACTCGAAATCTTCGGAAGCTGTCAGCTATCAGGCAAGTTAAAGTCTGTCCCAAAATGGATCCCGGTTGTGGTTTCTCACTGATTCCTCCAACAAAGAGATCGATGTCAAAAGTAGAAATGTAAACACTAATGATTCTACCACGCTGCTCTTTGTCGATATTAACAAGGTCTGAAAACTTTTTGGCAAGTCCTCCGGGAAGGTCAGTATCCAATCCACAAAATTTTCGGAAGTATATGTAAGGGGCAAGACCATGGTCCCGGCCCCGTTGAATATTGATCGCCATCAAGTCTCCTACTATTCCGTCTGGAGTTGGTCCTGGAGTCACAAGACTTTCATGCACAGCATTGACAAAGTTCCTGGCGGAAAAAAAAAAACAGTGACTACAAAATGCGACCAGTTACAAACCTTTTTTTAAAAAATCAGGCTCTTTATTGTAGGCTCTTAGCCAATGAGAAAACAGATAGTTTGTATTAATGTTTAAAATATAAGAAAACTCATGTGGATTTTTTTTTACAGATCACAAGGTTTGGGTCGTTAAAAAGGATGAAAGTGAAACTGTATAATTCCAACTCTGACTTTAATCTCCATGCTCGATATTTTCCTATCCACTCATGGTATATTTATATCTTTTCCATTGACAACAAATATACTACGGCATACCTATCGAATCTTTGAGCAGGTTCCGTTGCCAATCCCAAATTAATGCCATCGATTCCATTATTCCTCAGTCTATAAAGAGACGACGGGTCAAAGAAGCTTGTGGTAGCAACTTCTCCGAGCCTAACAAATCCTCTGCTAAATTTTCCAAAGCTGTCCCGTATTAGTGAATGACCCATTCTAAGTGCGGCAGCTGCAAACGCATTTCTGGTCGAAGCGTCAACATTTGGATCATAACCATTAAAAAATTGCCCGAGAGGTTCTAAGGTAAGGTTGTTGTTTCGTCTCTAAAATGAAAAAAGTAAACAGATAATTTGGAGCTTGTTGCATGCAACGACTAATCACAAGCATATTAAAAAAAAAAAAGACTCTCTCCTCGGTAAGGGCCTCCTTGTGTCACAGGGAGGCTGGGGAGAAGGAACGACGGGCAGTGCAATCTCAGCGGGAGCCTCTTCGGAGGAGAAAGGCTCCATGACCTTTCAGATACTGGTCAGGCGCTGTGGCCACTGAGCTACCAAAAGACTTGTGGTGAGCTGTATATAATATATCGAAAGAATTGAAGGCTAGTGAATGACGTAAATCGCCACGAATCTCTGTAGCTGAGTGGCTGGCACGTCCGACGGTTGCCCAGAAGGGCCATGGTTTCGGTTTCTATACCCCGGATGTATGGTGACTCAGAGAGGATAAACAAAACAACGTCATCTCGGAATGACCTATTGTGCATCACATTCTCTCGTCTGACTACTACTTAAGGATACTGAAAACGATTTTAACATTTTCAATTTGACGCCTGAAAAAGACAGGTTAGGATGATTTAATACTTACCACTTCTTCACTAAACAAAACGGGCAGCCATTCGTTGTAAGTAATATGCTGAATTTGGGCAATCACAATTTTCCGCGCTTCCTGGAACAGTCGTTCGTCGTTCCATGTTGGATTTAAATGATGAAGAAACTTTGCGATTCGGTTATGTTCTCGAACAAAAAGGATGTGAACAGTCATCAACGCTGTGGAGGGAAAGAAAAGCAGTGAGCACAAGGTGTCAGAGCGCATGTAACTGTGAATCGATGCAAGATCGATCTATATGAGCACGACTCTCATACCAAATAATATTTATGGTTAGCGACCATCAGGACTTCGTTGAGAGTAAATTTATTGTGTGTTTGGCAGGCAGTGGAAAGCATTCATGTCAAGCACGCAGTAGTCAGCACCGTAATTACAAACCTGACCTAATTGTAAAAGATTTTACTGTAACTTTGTTGATGTTCGCTTTGGAAAAAAAGTGTTTTCTCTTATGCTTTTAAACATTTGTGCCGACTGTAGGCAAATCGTTAAAAAAATCCTGTCGATGACGATTGTTGAGTACAGTAACTGTGCAGAGATACGATAAAATAACTTGCTTCATACCCGGGTTTTCATTGTCCCTGAAGTCTCCAAAAAGAAAGCACGGTTTTAGTGAAGGCCTAGGTGATCTGCAAAATGAACTTGGATCAGCAGGAGGGGATATTGGCATTCTATCAGAGCGTGACACCGGAAGTGGAACTACTCGCAATAAACCAATACGTGACGTCGTATCTCGCACACTCTCTGCTTCCTCACAGTTAACTCCATAAATGTTTGAGGCGTCAATATAAGAAGTAACCAGATTCACCTAAAAAGGAGGGAAGACACAGACGTTTTAGGTCTTAAAAAGAGTGAAATCCGAGTGTTTTTCTAAAATTTCATTTTATTACATGGAAGGGAGTGTTTTACAACAGGAACTAAAACACTCAGAACTCGATTCGACGTTTGACGTTTTAAGTCCTAAAACAAAAAACAAAACAAATAATGGAATGTACTGTTTTTGTAATACCTAATATTCTCACTTAATTTCACGAGTATTAAATTTCGCGACTTTCGCGATTTGGGAAAAATCGTGAAATTTAATACTCGCGAAATCTAAAAATCCCTAAAAATCGCGAAATTAAATTTTCGCGAAATATGGCTCATGATTTTTCACGAAATTAAGTGACAAATAAGGCATTTCATTTTATTGCTTGGACAGAAGTGTTTTAGTGGCAACTAAAATGCACATGACCACCACATCGGGAAAGCGAATGACGTATTTTCCGTATGTTAACGCGAATGGTAATATCGAGTAGCGACGTCACTATTCAAGCCTTTTCAAACTTGGGTAGAATGAAATTGTTTTTTTTGTTGTTGTTGTTTGGAATACTTATAGTAACTATTGCTGCCAAAAGATTCGTTGTAGTAGGAAGATGTAATGCTCTTTCTGAATAACAAGAGAACTTGACATTATGTCTCTGTCTTCACCCTCGACCCAGACCTTTCGTTTGGTGACTGCTCGCATCCGTGAATATTTAGTTTTTTTTTTTTAGCTGGCTGAAAAGGGGTTATATTAATAAATGAGAAACTGTCTGAATCTAATATTTAAAATTAATACAATCCCGTGTTACAAAATAACGCAAGATTCAAATAAAATTTTATAAGAAAAAGCACAAACCTGCTCCCCATTTCGTATTTCTGATCGTGAAAGAGGAATACACTGGGCGCTTTGATTGTTCCTCAATCTATCATCCGGATTATTTTGCGAGATCGGAATGCTGACACATCCAGGGACATTGTTTGGACATGGCGCATTGTTGGTCCCACATCCTTCGGTCTGATTAGAAACTGTCAACGTGAAGTCGTGGTCTATAAATGATCCCCACAGCATGGTCATGTGAGTAAAGTTTGGCTCCAAACCACCAACGTTCTCTGAGGTGTTCACGAACACAGTGTTGCTGATTGTTCTCGCGTTTCTGAGGGGCAGTGATGGCTTTGTGGTGGAAGCGAGTCGTGGTCCCAGTCCGTTTTGAAAGGATGGTGGCAGGAAACGTGCGAATGCTGTTCCAGCTGAGCCCTTTGTATTGAGATACGGAAAAATAAATCTGACTATAAGTATTCCCGACCTCTACCCTCGTCAGGAAGTACAAGGAGAGCGTGGGATGGAAGAGAATACTTGAACTGGTGCTCGCTCAGTCTCTAATGACTCTGGAAGATTTTTAAAAACTATTTTTGACCCTAACAAATATTTTCCCGATGAAAAATTAGTGCACTGATCTGCTTGCATCTAACCAGGGGGTTAGTTGCCTGTGAAAAGACTCTCTTATGGCGTATAGGACGAAAAGAAATTTAATTCAGCCCAAGCAGACGCGAAAGGGAAAAAGGATAGGGAGAGCCATCTTCTAATCATCCTGTTGATCATCTGTCAACAGGGTCATTACTTAAGTTTAATTCCTTGGAAGTGGAATCCCGATTTTTGGCGAACTGCCTTGGGAAAAGTAAATTGGTTCGAATTATCGGTAATTTCAAAAAATCGAAACCGAATTATCGAGAAGGGTACTATAAAACCGACATAAAAAATTTGCAAACGTCTTCGGGGTGGCAGTGTGAGATTTCTACGATATGCAGAAACTAAATCCAGTTTACAGTATGGTAAACCTTACCTGTGTTATGTTGCACAAGTTGTTGCACGTTCCGTCAAACATGCGATACTTGCGTTGTATACAGTTTAGACGCACATACAGTGGTACTCTCTCGCAAAATGGATCAACCGATATAAACGTATCTCGGGAGTTAAGAGACGACCCCGCAAAGGAAGGTGATAAACCAAAACAGACAAATGCTCCAACAAAAAGACAGAGACCTTGTCGCAACCTGAGGGAAAACAGTNCATCTAACCAGGGGGTTAGTTGCCTGTGAAAAGACTCTCTTATGGCGTATAGGACGAAAAGAAATTTAATTCAGCCCAAGCAGACGCGAAAGGGAAAAAGGATAGGGAGAGCCATCTTCTAATCATCCTGTTGATCATCTGTCAACAGGGTCATTACTTAAGTTTAATTCCTTGGAAGTGGAATCCCGATTTTTGGCGAACTGCCTTGGGAAAAGTAAATTGGTTCGAATTATCGGTAATTTCAAAAAATCGAAACCGAATTATCGAGAAGGGTACTATAAAACCGACATAAAAAATTTGCAAACGTCTTCGGGGTGGCAGTGTGAGATTTCTACGATATGCAGAAACTAAATCCAGTTTACAGTATGGTAAACCTTACCTGTGTTATGTTGCACAAGTTGTTGCACGTTCCGTCAAACATGCGATACTTGCGTTGTATACAGTTTAGACGCACATACAGTGGTACTCTCTCGCAAAATGGATCAACCGATATAAACGTATCTCGGGAGTTAAGAGACGACCCCGCAAAGGAAGGTGATAAACCAAAACAGACAAATGCTCCAACAAAAAGACAGAGACCTTGTCGCAACCTGAGGGAAAACAGTCATAAACGTCTTTAAGTTCTCATTTTTTATAATAATTTTATATATTAAAAATCTTCTCACTAAAGGTAAGAAGAAATGTTTCAATAGATCTTATGAATTGTAAGATATGTCGGGATATCACAATAATTATTGAAACTTGTATCGGTGCATGCAAGGCAATACTTCATTTTATATATCACTCCTCAAATCATTATTAATAATATAATAACGGTTTTTGGTGGTTTTATCCATACATAAAATTTAAACTATGCACTTCGGTGCACATACACTCTTCAGGGATCTGCTTCCATTTGAAAAGTTAATCCCTAAGAAGAAGGACACTAAATACAGTTTCTGAAAAAAGTCTTGCCATGGTCACAAAGTTAATACAGATCCTTTTCAATTATAAAGGGACAGGGCTTTTGCTTTTGCTTCCTGCGAACGAAGAGAGCTGCGATGAAGTAATATGACGAATAGAAACCTTTTTTTAATATAGGAAAAAAGCAAATTTTGAAAAAACATTGCTGTCAAAACTCGGTTGCCATGTTAACGTCAACGTTGACGCACACGTCAAGAAGACTTTAAAATCTTTTCGGATATTTTTTTTAGGAAAAGTCGCAGTACGTTTCGTGGTCATAGCTTGATTGGTCTTGAAGTTATTCAACGTTTAAGCGAGGCGGGGAAGGGTCTGAATAGGGTTAAAATACAATTTAGATTTTTTACTTATTGCAGTTACTGCATTTTCAACATTTTGTAACGCGAAATTCTTACTACTTTTAATAAGATCAATAACAATGATCATCTTATATTTTGTCTTTTAGTTTTCTTATTTTTGAAGAAATAAAGACTTCACTTTACTACTGTACAGTACTTAACTTTACATTAAATTTAATAAATAAATTATCTTTTTGACCAAAACCAATTGCAAATTTATCGTTTCTAAGGGCTGAGTCTGAATAAACTGGGTTACCACAGGCCTAGAAACTACAAAACTAAAAATAACTGTTCATGTTTCAAGTTTGCCAGAGAGCGTATTTATAACTCAGTGATTAGCGCGAAGCCGCCCAAGATTGGCGCGGCTTCATTTTGGGATGACCACTATGCCTTTGTTATATTAAAGGCCTTTTTCATCTTAAGCTATCTCGAAAAAACATAGTTAGAGCTCTAACATTTAAATCAATATGGGCTGACAAAGGACTCGAAAAAAGTGCTCGAAGGTTACAAGCTTTTCAATCTTTTAACGGTGGCCAACGTACTCTAAGGTAGTCAAACCAGTGGGAATTAAGTTGACTGATCGAAATGATCATTTGACACGATATAATTTATCAAAATTAACTGTAGTTAGCTCTTTGTGAGTATTTGTTTAGACGACTCGCTGAAGAGTGCTCTTGACGCTGAGGGCATTTGTGATTCTAAGCGCATTACTCAAAGACGAAGTATTTTTTGTCTTCGATGATACGACAGAGATCTTAGGACCTGGTTGACGTTAATCGACATCGGCAGTAAAACTTCGAAACCATCAAGAAGTTAACGGTACCTTAATTCCATCATTACGCTGCTTGTGCTCTTCTGTTTTNTAAGTTGACTGATCGAAATGATCATTTGACACGATATAATTTATCAAAATTAACTGTAGTTAGCTCTTTGTGAGTATTTGTTTAGACGACTCGCTGAAGAGTGCTCTTGACGCTGAGGGCATTTGTGATTCTAAGCGCATTACTCAAAGACGAAGTATTTTTTGTCTTCGATGATACGACAGAGATCTTAGGACCTGGTTGACGTTAATCGACATCGGCAGTAAAACTTCGAAACCATCAAGAAGTTAACGGTACCTTAATTCCATCATTACGCTGCTTGTGCTCTTCTGTTTTAACAATTCTATAACCTGAAGAGAAAAAAGAAAAATTTATAAAATAATTTATAAGCGTCCCTGAGGTGTAAAAATTGTCTTATCAGACAAGAAAAAAAATGTTTATCTTTTAAGAATAGAGCTGGCTTAAAAAGCCCCGACAAAACAACACCAAATATAACAGGAGCTAGTCAAGACTTGAACCTTTTCCTAAGGCGTTCTTTTAGTACTCAGTGTGGTTTGAGAAGAATATGGCCGTATAACTTCCTTTTATGCTGTTTTGGAAGTCATTATCAAAGCTACTACTTATGCTGTGGTCAAAAAATTACTGCTTTGTCATGACAGCCAAGCAGCGGTCATTCAAAACTGAACACGGGTTCATGCGGAAAAAAAGAAAAGGTTTTAACTGTTTAAAGTTGATATTAGTCGTAGTGGTATTTAACAACGTAAATGATGACTTGCGTAGAGAGAGAGAACACAATTGAAGAACTGTCATTTTCCGTTGCACTGATCAACCATAACGTAAGGTGATGACTTTATGGAAATGTCGGTGAACATGCCATTGCTGACCGGCAAACTTATTTCTAGAATCAAGATTTAAAACCTTGTGAAACTGAATTGCACAGAAGGCACAGTTGATTCAAGCACATCTATGCGATTTACCGGAGACAGAAATTAGCTGAAATTAAAGCTCAAACACATCTAAGCTGCAGATCATTGCAGTGATGTAGTTACTTGAAACCTTGAACTTCGAACTAGTGCTTATGAACCTTAATATTGGACTCTAAACAACAGCATAGCTGGCTGGAAAATGAGGCGATCAGCAGGTTAATGATAAGCCGATCGTCGATCTTTTCCCATCTCCAATGTGACTTTTCTTTAGCTTTAAGCTTGTTGGATCGATCCCGTGCATGTCATGTATTGAAGGTCGAGAGACCGAAGCCGGATAACTTTGCAAAGTCATTAAAAATAAAAAGACACACTGTACTATCTTAACCTTTCCTTAGGCTGCTCGGTAGAAAGGGACAACTCCCGTAAAAGAGCGTGGTATGGGTTGAACTGATGTTGCAAAATGAAATGGCTCGAACTGATTCGATATTTATGTGCGACACTAACTAAAAGGCATTTTTGGTCCAGCTGAAAATGCAAAAAATGCCCAATAACTTGTAATGTATTAAAATAAGCTCACGTGTCTTAAGGGTTCTCTGATAAAATAAAAGCTACAAGACATCCAATTCTTCTGGCCCCCACATAAGTCAACCCCCCCTAATAGTAATTCACCTAAAAAACAAACAAACAAATTACGGTTATCCGTAATCAGCATCCCATTATCGTAAACCATTATCAGTTCTTAATCCCCGACTAAACGTTATCCACTCGGTAAGAAATCCGATGAAAAAGGTCTATTTAGGCCAAATGCTTCTTGTACTCATGTTCTTGAATTTTAACTCTACAGTACGTCAAGCGTGATCTTAAGGGCAACCTATCATATAGTTCAAACAATGCTTACCTCTAAGTCACATATAAACAGTTCTAACTCTATAACGGAGCTAGGATGAGTAACACAAACAAGTGGGAAATTTATACAAACAAACCATGTTGTAAAACAAAATATAGTACAATCAATATATCATCAATGCAGACGCCAGAGCTAGGTTCAAACCCACAGTAAAAGGTAACAGCTTTATAGAGTAACCCAATATTAAGGTAGCTTGGTTATTGTCTTGGGTTGTAGAATGTGACATTTAAAAAACTAGTAAAAAATACATATTCCAAACCAGTGTGATAAAATTTATTTTCACGGTAGGTTTGGCGTTTAAAAATTTGGGGAGGGGGGAAGACGAATCAAAGGCATTGTAGTCTTAAAGTCGTTTAATCCAGTCAAACAACACAGGGTAAGATTATAGATTGAAAAGTGCAGTATAAATCCCGACAAAAACAAACACTGCTCTCTAAAAGGTAATTATTTTCACGTTCGAGTCGTATTCAGTTTATCCAGTGCAGGTTTATTCCTGGTTTATTGTCTACCGCATAGCTTAAACAAATATTAAGACGTGAAATGTTACTGATGTTTGGTAATTTCACCTCCTCCATCAACCTGGGTCGTCTAGATTGCTTTTATTTTTCGGCTAGCCTTGTAAAGCTTCTTGAGGGATAGGCAATTCAGGGTTGCTAGGCGCAATATTTTTGGTTCATTGTTAGCTGTTTTAATATATTGTTAAAACCGGACGTACTTTATGAAAACGAAAGTTCCCGCTCAACTGAAAATTAGCACAATATCATATACTGAATTATGAAGCAGGAAACCGACTTCAGGAAATGTTTGTAGTGAGTCAGCTAATTTCTGCAAAAAAAAGAATGAGTCAGCTTGATTTACTAATCACAGCTCTCTGTTTCAGTGTTTGTTGTGAAAAGTATTCTATCACTAGAAACCTGAGACGTTATCATTATGAAGAACCTCTACGCTAATGATTCAGAATTTTATCGTTTTCTTTATTCAACCCAAGTTACTGGTGTTGCATGTAAAATCTATGTTCGTCTTATTTAAGC